TTCATTTTCTAAGAGTAGGATATTCTCTTTGATGACCACAGTACAGTTATCAAATTCAGAAAACTTAATATCAATACAATACAGCTCATATTCCAATTTCACCAATTGTTCCACGGTCTCTCTATCCAGAATTCAGTCCAGATGCCTGCATTGAATTTAGTTGTAGTGTCTTTAGTGTCTCTCTCTCTTTCTCTCTCTCTCCTTTTTTAAAATTTTTTTGAGACAGGGTCTTGCTCTGTCGCCTGGGCTAGAGTGCAGTGGCATCATATTAATAATAGCTAATATTTCTGCTGTAGCATATGGCCTAAAAAAAAATAAAAGGTTTGTTGTTTTTAACATAAAAGGCTTCTAGGATGTAAAATTATTTATTGCTCTGCATCTTGTTTTCCATATAACAATGGCTTGGGACCCTCCCCCAAAAGCACATGAATCTCTACTTCCAATGTATGAGTCTGTTCACTTCACCCCACGTTTGATAATTGTATATTTTTAAAATCTTTTTGCCAATCTAATAAGTAAACTCAGTGTTGTTTTAATTTGCTAGCTTATGTTTTCTTATGCAATAGTTCAAATATTCAGAAACATAAAGACAGCTTCTTAATTCAGCCCAAGTTGACAAGCATCTTAAATGTTTAACTGGTATTTTTAAAGCAGTGCGTTCAGGTTTTGTGTACTAGAGGAAATGCAGAATGTACAGGAAATGGCATTAGAGTGACTGACCTAGGGCTTTAGTCCATGCTGTGCAATAATTAACTGTGTAAACTTAGGACTCCATTTTTCTCATCTATAAAATTAAAACATATAATTGTTAGCAATCTTTTAAAGCTGTAAGCGTATATGGCTCTACCCAGGAGTTTGAGGCTGCAATAAGCTATCATCGTGCCACTGCACTTTATTTAGTCCGGCCAACAGAGTGAGACTCCATGTCTAAAAAACAAAAAATAAAATCAAACAAAAAAAGAGTATATGGCTCTAAACAACAAATGTTTCAAAACACTATGTTAAAATTCTTCTGCCTGGTTTAATGGTGAGTAAAGAATACTGTGTCTCCTCCACTTCCTAAAGCCTATAAATTCCACAAGGAAAGATTAGTTTTCTTTATTTATGTATACCAAGCACTTAGAACAGTGCCTGGCACGCTTGATATCTGTTGAATGACTGAAAATGGTTAAGACGTTTCACTTTGGTAAGTTGCTTTGAAACAATTATTTGGACAGTGTAACAAACCTGGCATAATTTCAAGCTTCGGTCTAATTCTCACACTCCTGAAGTGAAATTGCTACATAGCTGTTACAGTTCATTCAGAGAGTTACATCTGCCTACAGTAGAAAGACTCAGATACACTATCTACCCTCTGGACTTAAAGCCGAACTCCCCAGCCCCAACACCCGATGAGGCCCATACTCGAAGAAGTGTCAAAACTGGTAACTATGTATAATCACAGGCCTATAGAAGCCGGGTTGTCGCCTACCCCATTCCACTCTCAGACTGTACATCCAAAGAGAACAAGGAGTTACAGTTGCTTTTCTCACGAATTACAGGACTCCGAAAACGGTGGAACTGAAGCCACCAAAGGCACAGAACTGTCAGGGAAAAGGGGGTAAGAACGAGCGGACAGACCCTCTCAAGCTCCACTCATTGGGAAAAGCCCGTGTTGCTGGAAACCGCGTCCTCACCTCCTTCTTTCTTTGGGCAGAGGCCGAGGGAACCTCGTAGACGAGCAGCAGCGCCGCCGCCATAGTCGCAGAAACACACCAAAACCACCAACGCGCTGCCATGTTCGCTCCTCTCCTTCTTACAAGGGAAACTTTCCTCCAGCAGGGTCTGGGGGTGGGGCGTGAGAACAGGCAAACCAGCCCCTTGCCTTTCCTCATTGGTCCAGCTCAGTCCGGCCTCGCAACCCCTCATTTTACATCACAGCACGCCCCGGCTAGTCACCCGCTAAAGACAGGTCACTTCGAATTGGTCCCCGTTAGCCAATAGAAAAAGGACAATCTGGAGGTTTTTCATTGGTCCGCAAAAGATGACGGGCCGCCCCTTTCATTTCACGTAAAGATCTCGCGCGCAGCGGCTCTTCAAACACGCATGCGCAGTGGCAAAATGCTGAGGCTTTTTCGGAGTCCAAAATGGCTTGGGGTTGCTAAAACGCCATCTTTTCCCCAAAGACTCGCTTAGAAGTTCTTGAAATCCCTGTTTCGTGTAATATTCTAGAAAAATGGGACCACTTGAGTGAGAAGCGCTGTATTCGTCCCTCATCCTGCCTCCAAAGTACTTCAAATTAAAATGAAAAAATAAAAATAGGAAAGCAAAAATATATCTAGTGTCACTGAGGGTGGTTTTTCAAAGTAAATATGAAACAAGAGCTTGTCGAATACCTCTTATATCCTAGGAACTGTGCCAGGAGCGCTGAGTAAAAAAGGACACCAAAAATTATTTTTTAAAGTTTTTGTTTATGACAGTTTTTTTTTAAATTCCTTGATTTCCTTAAAGCACCAAGGACTTAAATTACCGATTAGAGACAGCAAATGGCTTCTTTTCTATTTATTATTTTGTTTTAAAAAGAGAAGAGACATCAAGTTCCTAGCCTCAAAATCTTCTCACCTTGGCCTCCCAAAGTGCTAGGATTATAGGCATAGGCCAGGGAACTGGCCTAGCCTCCTTTAAAATTGAATAATTCCTCAGCCTTCTTTGCCTTTCATGCATTAATTTTTTTCATTACTGATAAACTTATTTTCTCAATCTTACATATGAAGAAGTGAGATGCAGAATCCTTAAGTGATCAAAATCAAGCTTAGATCAAATGAAGATTGGAAATTATAAGAGGCAGAACTGGTAATGGACCTTCTGACTCCACAGGTCCGAGCTCCGTAATTTTTTTTGAAGACTACGGCCAGTTATCTTATAAAAGTTCCCTCATTTGTGTTGTTTGATGTTCCCTCATGAATAGATTCACTATGCAATTCTGGCAGAAATACTACATAAATGATGTGTCTTAGGGCATCTTATCAGGAGGTATATGATCTAGCTTCTTTCATTTATTGTTAATGCCAACTTTAATCATTTGGTTAAAGTAGTGCCCTCAGGTTTCTACACTAAAAAGTTACTATTTTCCCTTTATAATTAACATGCAACTGTGAAGAATACATTAAGACTATGTGAATGTTCCATTCTTCATCAAATTTTACTGTTTTGAGTATCCATGGATGATTCTTCCTAAATCAGTGATTGGTATGAAATTGTAAACATGATCTTCTAATTCATCATTCCTTCTATATTTAATAGTGGTTATTCTAGTGTAAGAATTTTATTTTCTCCTCTATTATATCAATATGTGTTCATGGATTCTGTAGGTTATAGTCCACTACTATCATGATTATTTAATGATCAATAGTCCAGATGTGGTTGGTAGATTTCTCTTTAATCTGGCTTCTATGTCTTTTTGACATGTCTCCATCATTTTTTTAGCATGTTTATTTCTGACACAAGATATTCAAGACTCATCTTGTAGTTTCCCTGCCTCATCACTGAAATCATTCATGTCTTTAAAGAGCCTAATTTATTCTAGTGGGGATGGCAATTAGCAACTTAGATTTGGGCACTAGGACAAATGGGGTGTAATTGCTTCTAGTTCAGTAAATAGAATTAGGTATATGTATGAATGATAAGTTATACTAATACCTCAAGTTCTGTCCAACCCCACATAGTTCTTTACTTCCTTCATTTGTATTTGTATCTCCTTTTTTCCACAGTGAGAATCCTGGCTGTCAACAACATCAGTGTTTTTCATGTTACATTACACACGATATAGTTTCAGAATTATTATACCCATATCATTGTGAAAAACAAACCTACAAAGTAGAGTCCAAAGTTTGCTTGAGTTAGTTTTGCTTCAGACTAATGGTACATAAGCAAAGTAGTATCTTCATAGGTATTTAGATTAGTTCTTTTTTCTTTAGTGTGATTATGTTTTCATTTGAAATAGAGCTGGTCTCCCTTATTGTTTGCATTAAATTTAGTTTTCCCATTCTTACTGACTTTAATTTTTTTTTTAAGAACGGGTCTCGATATGTTGCCCAGCTGGAGGCAGTGGCTATTCACAGGCGCGATCCCACTACTGATCAGCACGGAGTTTGACCTGCTCGTTTCCGACCTGGCGGTTCACCCCTCCTAGGCAACCTGGGCTCCGCTCCGGCTGACTTAATTTTAAATGTATTTATTTATTAAGACAGAATCTCACTCTGTTGTCCAGGATAGATGCTATGGCGTCTGCCTAGCTCACAGCAACCTCAACTCCTGGGCTCAATCCTTCTGCCTCAGGCTCCCAAGTCTGGACTACAGGCATGTGCCACCGTGCCCAGCTAATTTTTCTATTTTTAGTAGAGACTGGTCTTGCTCTTGCTTGGGCTGGTCTTGAACTCCTGAGCTCAAACGATCTGCCCGCCTCAGCCTCCCAGAGTGATAGGATTACAGGCATTAGCCACCAAGCCTGGCCTTTAAATTTATTTTTAAATATAGTTAAATATACATAACATAAATTTACCTTTTTAACTATACAGTTTAGTGCATTAAGTACATTCACTTTATTGTGCAACTATTACCACATCCATCTCCAGACTTTTTCTTTCATTCTTTCTTTTTTTTTTTTTTTTGAGACAGAGTCTCACTTTGTTGCCCAGGCTAGAGTGAGTGCCATGGTGGTCAGCCTAGCTCACAGCAACCTCAAACTCCTGGCTCAAGCAATCCTACTGCCTCAGCCTCCCGAGTGGCTGGACTACAGGCATGTGCCACCATGCCAGCTAATTTTCTTCTATATATATTAGTCAGCCAATTAATTCTTTCCATTTATAGTAGAGACGGGTCTCACTCTTGCTCAGGCTGGTTTTGAACTCCTGACCTCGAGCAATCCGCCCGCCTCAGCCTCCAGAGTGCTAGGATTACAGGAGTGAGCCAGCGGCCGGCCTATCCAGGACTTTTTCATCTTGTAAAATTAAATGACTTGATTTTACATTTTGATTATTTGAAATGTTAACCTTTTCCAAAGTAAAAACCATACAAAATGGTGTGCTTAGAGAAGTTTCATTCCTCCCTAACTGTTCCACTCCATGTCCACTAACTCTTATAGTTAAGCAATTTCATAGTTTTTGGTTTACCTTTATGTATTTCCTTTTGTAAAAGTGGGCAATATATGTATATTTCATATTTCCCCTTTTCTTTTACACAACTGTAGCATAAAATCCATTATCATTTTACACAGGTCTTCCTCATCCTTTTACAGGTGCAAATACTCTGTGGTGTATATGTACAACACTATATTCAATCAGTCTCCTATGTTTGAACATTTAGGATAGTTTAAGAACATTTAGATTATAATAATGCTGAAATGAATAACTCTGTACACATATATTTTCATATTATTATATATCGCTCTCCAGGGTAGATGCCTAGAAATGGGATTGTTGATCAAACGATACATTCGTATGTAATTTTATTAGATATTGCCACATTAACCCCATAAATGTTGTACCGTTTGCATTTGTACCAGCCATGTATAAAGGGTGCCTGTTTCCCACAGCCTTGCTGACAGCATGTATTGTCAAGCTTTGGATTTTTGCCAGTAGGATAGGTGAGATAACTCTTTTAAACTTTCAAAATTTACTTTAATTTTTCTTTTTTTTAAATATACATGTAGTAAATTCACTCTTTGATATACAGTTCTGTGAGTTTGACAAATGCATAAATCATGTCACTACCAATTAAGGACAAAACAGTTCCAGCACCATAAAAATGCCCTATGTGGCTATTTGTAATCAACCTCTCCTACCCCTAGCCCCTGACGCCACTGATCTGTTCTCTGTCCCTATGGATTTGCCTTTTCCAGAATGTCATATAAACGAAATCAACAGTAATCTCAGTGTACTTTTATTTTGCATTTTCTTAATATGAACTTCTATAATGATTTAAATATTTTCATATCTCTATTTCACATCTCTTCACTTCAGAGCCACTATTTTTCTACCCATCTCCTTGTCTCTCCAACATAATGAAATTATTCCCTGTGTTTTTCCAGCAGATCTTAAAAAGTAATCATGTGATATGTTCCACACCATCAAAATAAATCCAAATTATAGGCAGATTGATTTTATCTTGGTGTTTTTCTTCTTAGTATATTAGTATTCTCTAGATTAAAATATCCAGTTTTACAACACACTGAAACAGAACTGGGTCAAATAAATGGAAACTTCTTCGGCTAGTAGGATTTCATATTTTTAGATGAGAGAATTGGATGTTCAGTGAAACAGACTACAGCCAAAAAAAGAGGGAAATTGCTTTACATCTATTTTTGCACCCATCCAGTTCTCTGTGAGAAGAAATCGTTTAGTTACTACACATGGTAATCTCATATAATCTCTTGATCAATTTATGAGATATTTTTACACTCCTTATTTTACAAAGGAGGAAAGTGCAGTTTAGAGAGATTAATCATTTGCCAAAGTGAAGGAGATAACAAACACAGCTTTTGAAATAAGAAAACCAGTCAGCTTATTTTGTGGTTATTTTCAAAGTTTCTTGAATGTTTAGAAGACAATCTAGTAATAGCCCCCATGGCTCTGTTAAGTGAAAAATTTTAATGGCTAATAGACAAGCTAAATGGTAATTCAGGTCACCTTCATTGTAAAGCTTCTCACGTTACTCAAGGTCACCTTCGGTGCAAATTAAGTATGGAAATACATTTTTTCTCTCCAGTCTAGTCCATTCTCAATACACAACAACGCTGATGCAAAATTTCTCTGTACCGCCCAAATTTTAGATAAGAAAAAATGAATACGATTGCTTACAGGCAGCTAATATTCAGTTAACAAATAACTTCAAAAACTGCATGGCTACCATTTAAGTAGTCTTCCTGCAATGAAAGCAGGTGAAGGGCTAGATTTACAGTTTCCTTCCGTTACGGTTACTAGGAACTGGACATGAGCTTCTTCTATCTGGGGTTAGGAGTAAATGTACCCTGGATGCTAAAATTCTGGACATCACTTAAGGAACGAGAGGTGTTCACCAGAGTGTCCTTCCTGAAATCATAGGTTACTTAAGAATTAAAAGCAGGGTTAGGGTATGACTCCGTTAACAGAAAGCTGGGGACTGAAACAGAAACACTGGAGTGATAAAGCCAATGGTAAGGACATCTTCCCAATAACCTGGGACAGATGGAGACAAGAGCATTTAGAATTAGAAGGTAGGGATGCTGGTAGAGGTAAAGGGCACGAGAGACCATGAGGACAAATGAAGAATATAAGACTGCTGTAAGTGATTTGCTAATAATTTTTGCTCACCTTGGAGACGGGTTAGCGCATTTTGGCCAAAGGAAACATCGTGAAGCTGAAGATAGAACTGCGACACTCCAGCTGCTGCTTGGGTGCAAACCCCTTCAAGTACCCTTGCAAAAAACCCTCAAAAACAAATGGCTTTCAGCGGGCTCCTTAATGAGATTTGACGAAATCGCGCGAGATTTGTAAACCTGTAGCGTGTAAGCTCCTTTACCGCGAGAACAAATAAAGCCCTTTTGGGAAATGTAGTTTCAGGCTTTATAAATGACGTGTGATGATATTAATGAAGAATGAGAGAACTTGAACCCAGGTTTAGGGCCCTATGGAAGGGGGCTGAGACAGATGTTAGACTGATCGTCTAAGGCTGTGGTCCCCAACCCCCGGTCGCGCATGGTAGCGGTCCGTGGCCTGTTAGGAAAACGGTGCCGCGCATCACCCTGAGCTCTGCCTCGCCACACCTCCTCCCGCTTCCCGTCCGTGGAAAAATTGTCTTCCATGAAACCGGTCCGTGGTGTGAAAAAGGTTGGGAGCGGGTCTAAGGCACCAGCTTCAAGATGGTGTTAAAGTTCCAGAGGCTTGGGTTTGGTATCTCGCTCCACACCGAGCTCGTTTTTCTGTTCCCCTAAACTTCCTTTACTTCTTTTATTTTTTTTTTTGTCTCCTCTTACCACATACTAATTGCTTAACTTTAATTTGAAATAATTTCAAATTTAGAGAAAATTGCAAGAATAGTAAAATACCTGCAATACATGATAACAAATTTTGCAAACTATTGTAGAATCTTGACGGTGGGTGTTCACCAGTACAATTCTTTCAATTTTTCTGTATGTTTGGATATTTTCATAATAAATATGGCAGGAGGCTGGGTGTTGGTGGCTCACACCTGTAATCCCGGCACTTTGGGAGCCGAGGCGGGAGGGGGAGGATCACTTGAGCCCGGGAGTTGGGGACCAGTCTGGGCAACAAAGCAAACCCTGTCTCAAAGAAAAAAGATGGTGTTAGAACTCTTGTACCATTACCTATGTAACCAATTAATAATATTTTGTACATTATTTCTCCTCTCTCCTCATATATATATATATATACTTTGGGTGGAATTTTTTCTGAACCATTTGAGAGTAACTTGCATATAGCATGCACCTTTACCTGTTAATACTTCAGAGTTCATTTTCTTTTTTTTTTTTTTTTTTTTGAGACAGAGTCTCGCTTTGTTGCCCAGGCTAGAGTGAGTGCCATGGCGTGAGCCTAGCTCACAACAACCCAAACTCCTGGGTCAAGCGATCCCCCTGCCTCAGCTCCTGAGTAGCTGGACTACAGCATGCACCACCATGCCTGGCTATTTTTCTATATGTATTAGTTGACAATTAATTTATTCTATTATAGTAGAGACGGATCTCACTCTGTGTCAGGCTGGTTTTGACTCCTGACCTCGAGCAATTCACCCGCCTCGGCCTCCCAGAGTGCTAGGATTAACAGGCGTGAGCCACACCGGCCAAGAGTTCATTTTCTAAGAGTAGGATATTCTCTTTGATGACCACAGTACAGTTATCAAATTCAGAAAACTTAATATCAATACAATACAGCTCATATTCAATTTCACCAATTGTTCCACGGTCTTCTATCCAGAATTCAGTCCAGATGCCTGCATTGAATTTAGTTGTAGTGTCTTTAGTGTCTCCTCTCTTTCTCTCTCTCCTTTTTAAAAATTTTTTGAGACAGGGTCTTGCTCTGTCGCCTGGGCTAGAGTGCAGTGCATCAATAATATATAATATTTAATATGCTATAAATAATAGCATACTACTCGCAACCTCAAGTTCCTAGCCTCAGCATCTTCTCACCTTGGCCTCCCAAAGTGCTAGGATTATAGGCATAGGCCAGGGAACTGGCTAGCCTCCTTTAAAATTGAATATTCCTCAGCCTTCTTTGCCTTTCATGCATTAATTTTTTCATTACTGATAACTTTATTTTCTCAATCTTACATATGAAGGAAGTGAGATGCAGAATCCTTAAGTGATCAAATCAAGCTTAGATCAAAATGAAGATGTTGGAAATTATAAGGAGCAAACTGGTAATGGACCTTCTGACTCCACAGGTCCGAGCTCCGTAATTTTTTTTGAAGACTACGGGCCAGTTATCTAAAAAGTTCCCTCATTTGTGTTTGTTTGATGTTCCCTCATGAATAGATTCGCTTATGCAATTCTGGCAGAAATACTACATAAATGATGTGTCTTAGGGCATCTTATCAGGAGGTATATGATCTTTAGCTCTTTCATTTATTGTTAATGCCAACTTTAATCATTTGGTTAAAGTAGTGCTCCAGGTTTCTACACTAAAAAGTTACTATTTTTCCCTTTATAATTAAATGCAACTTGTGAAGAATACATTAAGACTATGTGAATGTTCCATTCTTCATCAAATTTTTACTGTTTTTGAGTATCCATGGATGATTTCTTCCTAAATCAGTGATTGGTATGAAAGTTGTAAACAATGATCTTCTAATCTATCATTCTTCTATATTTAATAGTGGTTTCTAGTGTAAGAATTTTATTTCTCCTATTTATTATCAATATGTGTTCATGATTCTGTAGGTTATAGTCACTACTATCATGATTATTTTAATGATCAATAGTCCAGATTGTGTTGGTAGATTTCTCTTTAATCTGGCTTCTATCGTTTTTGACATGTCTCCATCATTTTTTAGCATGTTTATTTCTGACAAAGATATTCAAGACTCATCTTGTAGTTTCCCTGCCTCATCACTGAAATCATTCATGTCTTTAAAGAGCCCTAATTTATTCTAGTGGGGATGGCATTAGCAACTTAGATTTTGGGCACTAGGACAAATGGGTGTATTGCTTCTAGTTCTTTCAGTAAATAGAATTAGGAAATATGTTATGAATGATAAGTTTATACTAATACCTCAAGTTCTGTCCACCCCACATAGTTCTTTCTTCCTTATTTGTATTTGTATCTCCTTTTTTCCACAGTGAGAATCCTGGCTGTTCAAAACATCAGTGTTTCATGTTACATTACACAACGATATAGTTTCAGAATTATTATACCATATCATTGTGAAAAACAAAACGCTTGCCTATAGTCCAGCTACTTGGGAGGCTGAGGCAGGAGGATCACTTGAGCCCAGGAGTTTGAGGTTGCTGTGAGCTAGGCTGATGCCACCGTACTCTAGCCTGGGCAACAGAGCAAGACTCTGCCTCAAAATAAATAAATACAGAGGATGAATGAAACCTGAATTTTAAGGAAGAAATTCTTCCTTAAGATATATATTATTATAATCTTAAGTGCTAAGATTTAGCACTGTCTCCATTAAAAATAGAAAGAAGGCCCGGCGCGGTGGCTCACGCCTGTAATCCTAGCTCTCTGGGAGGCCGAGGCGGGCAGATCGTTTGAGCTCAGGAGTTTGAAACCAACCTGAGCAAGAGCGAGATCCTGTCTCTACTATAAATAGAAAAATATTATTGGCCAACTATATATATATGAAAAAATTAGCCGGGCATGTGGGCACATGCCTGTAGTCCCAGCTACTCGGGAGGCTGAAGCAGGAGGATCGCTTGAGCCCAGGAGTTTGAGGTTGCTGTGAGCCAGGCTGATGCCAGGGCACTCACTCTAGCCTGGGCAACAAAGTGAGACTCTGTCTCAAAAAAAAAAAATTAAAAAAAGAAGAAAGAAAGAAATTAGCCGATCAACTAAAAATATATAGAAAAAATTAGCCAGGCATCATGGCATATGCCTGTAGTCCCAGCTACTTGGGAGGCTGAGGCAGGAGGATCACTTGAGCCCAGGAGTTTGAGGTTACTGTGAGCTAGGGTGACGCCACAGCACTCTAGTCTGGGCAACAGAGTGAGACTCTCTCAAGAAACAAAAACATTTTGAATGCAGATTAAATTAAAGGGAAAAATATCTAAAATAGAAATTATTGATCAATAGTACTTACATATGTCCATATAGAAATACAGAAAGTGGCTCCAGTAGCTAATACAGCGTTACCATATTTGTCATGAAAATCAGGTGTTCGTTTCTGGTGGCTCTGCCTTGCCATTGTTTGCTGAATGTTTCGAACTTACAGGGAAAAAAAAATACAGAAGCATATCTATCAATCATCAGGAAAAGAGAACATATGTAACTGATACTGCTGATCAGGAAAGCCAAGGAAGTTACCTTCACAGTATTATGCAGTTCAATAAAATGTTAAAACATAAAACACATTGTAGCTTCACGCCTGTAATCCTAGCACTCTGGGAGGCCGAGGCAGGTGGATTGCTCAAGGTCAGGAGTTCGAAACCAGCCTGAGCAAGAGCGAGACCCGTCTCTACTATAAACAGAAAGAATTAATTGGCCCACTAATACATATATAGAAAAATTAGCCGGGCATGGTGGCACATGCCTGTAGTCCCAGTACTTGGGAGGCTGAGCAGGAGATTGCTTGAGCCCAGGAGTTTGAGGTTGCTGTGAGCTAGGCTGACGCCACGGCACTCACTCTAGCCTGGGCAACAAAGTGAGACTCTGTCTCAAAAAAAAACAAACAAACAAAAAACTAGGGTATCTTGATTTTTTAAATAATGAATGTGGCACCAAATAAATGCAGTATATAAAATGTATCAGACACAGACCCTGTCCTCCGTTTAACTTCCAGTCTGAAGAGGAAGTAATTGTAACACTGTAATACAAGAAGTATAATTAACAAGCAGTTTGAACTGCAGAGAGGATTTGGTTATGTAGTGTGTGAAAGGGAGAACTGAACAAAGGCAGATAGAAAAGCCCAGTGTAGTGAAAAACCAATTAAGTTTGGTTGAAGCACAAGGTGTATGGGCAGTTAATGGGGGATAAAATTAGAAAGGATCATGGCCGCAACATTTTTCAGTAGGCAGAGGAAGCTGGTAAAGTTTTTTGAGCAGAATGGACAACATTGAAACTTTGTTTTTACTATTATTCTACTACAGCGGTCCCCACCCTTTTTGCACAAGGACCGTTTCATCCTGGGGGGGAGAGGGGAGCTAGTAGGTGCAGGGAGCTTCGTCCATAACAGGCCCTGGGGTTGGAGGACAGTAGTTCTACTGGAGGAGTGGAGTAAGTTTCCAAACTGCCCTGAAAAAATAGGGAGGAAAGGCTTGGGAAAAAGCCAAGACTGGAAAAAGTCTATTTCTAGCTGACTTTCTCCCTCTCCAATTTAAACAAGCAGGTCCTTACAGTAAGGACTTACTTACTTATTATTTAAGTATAATGAAAAGCATGTTAGAGAAACAGCAATGTTGCCGTTCGCTAGCACTTAATATAACGGCTTCTATGTGTACAACAGGTTATTTCAGATAGTTATTTGACCATTATTCGATCTTCTCCTAACTGCCTTATATAGCTTTCGTCTTCACTTTTAAGGCAGTCACACTGAGGTGAGCAATTTACAAACATTTCACATTCTGCTTCAGAAAAGTTAAAAATGGGAGCGTGAATTCCACATTGAAAAAAAAAAGAACCCTTTCCTGAGGTATAAGAAGACTATTGCTCAAAGGGGAAGAAATTAAGATTACTCAACAATTCTGCACACCTCATAACTTTAAGTACATTTCTTTAGACCTCCTCTGTTGGAAGAATCGTTTAGTTACTACACATTGGTAATCTCATATAATCTTAACAATTCTATGAGATATTATTTTACACTCCTTATTTTACAAAGGAGGAAGTGCAGTTTAGAGAGATTAAATCATTTGCTCAAAGTGAAGGAGATAACAAACACAGCTTTTGAAATAAGAAAACAGTCAGGTACTATTGTGGTTATTTTCAAGTTTCTTGAATGTTTAGAAGACAATCTAGTAATAGCCCCCATGGCTCTGTTAAGTGAAAAATTTTAAATGGCTAATAGACAAGCTAAATGGTAATTCAGGTCACCTTCATTGTAAGCTTCTCACGTTACTCAAGGTCACCTTCGGTGCAATTAAGTATGGAAATACATTTTTTCTCTCCAGTCTAGTCCATTCTCAATACACACAACGCTGATGCAAATTTCTCTGTACCTGCCCAAATTTTAGATAAGAAAAAATGATACGATTGCTTACAGGCAGCTAATATTCAGTTAACAAATAACTTCAAAACTGCATGGCTACCATTTAAGTAGTCTTCCTGCAATGAAAGCAGGTGAAGGGCTAGATTTACAGTTTCCTTCCGTTACGGTTACTAGGAACTGGACATGAGCTTCTTCTATCTGGGGTTAGGAGTAAATGTACCCTGAATGCTAAAATTCTGGACATCACTTAAGGAACGAGAGGTGTTCACCAGAGTGTCTTCCTGAAATCATAGGTTACTTAAGAATTAAAAGCAGGTTAGGGTATGACCCGTTAACAGAAAGCTGGGAACTGAAACAGAAACACTGGGTGATAAAGCCAATGGTAAGAGGATCTTCCCAATAACCTGGACAGATGGAGACAGAGCATTTAATTAGAAGGTAGGGATGCTGGTAGAGGTAAAGGGCACGGAGACCATGAGGACAAATGAAGAATATAAGACTGCTGTAAGTGATTTGCTAATAATTTTTGCTCACCTTGGAGACGGCTTAGCGCATTTTGGCCAAAGGAACATCGTGAAGCTGAAGATAGAACTGCGACACTCTCCAGCTGCTGCTTGGGTGCAAACCCGCTTCAAGTACCCTTGCAAAAAACCCTCAAAAACAAAATGGCTTTCAGCTGGGCTCCTTAATGAGATTTGACGAAATCGCGCGAGATTTGTAAACCTGTAGCGTGCTAAGCTCCTTTACCGCGAGAACAAATAAAGCCCTTTTTGGAAATGTAGTTTCAGGCTTTATAAAGACGTGTGATGATATTTAATGAAGAATGAGAGAACTTGAACCCAGGTTTAGGGCCTATGGAAGGGGCTGAGACACTGATGTTAGACTGAATCGTCTAAGGCTGTGGTCCCCAACCCCCGGGTCGCGGCATGGTAGCGGTCCGTGGCCTGTTGGAAAACGGGTGCCGCGCATTCACCTCTGAGCTCTGCCTCGCCACACCTCCTCCCGCTTCCCGTCCGTGGAAAAATTGTCTTCCATGAAACCGGTCCGTGGTGTGAAAAAGGTTGACTGCGGGTCTAAGGCACCAGCTTCAAGATGGTGTTAAAGTTCCAGAGTTGCGGGTTTGGGTATCTCGCTCCACACGAGCTCGTTCTTTCTGTTCCCCTAAACTTCCTTTACTTCTTTTATTTTTTTTTTTGTCTCTCTTACCACATACTAATTGGCTTAACTTTAATTTGAATAATTTCAAATTTAGAGAAAAATTGCAAGAATAGTAAAATACCTGCAATACATGATAAAGCAAATTTAGCAAACTATTGTAGAATCTTGACGGTGGGTGTTCACGTACAATTCTTTCAATTTTTTGTATGTTTGGATATTTTCATAATAAAATATGGCAGGAGGCTGGGTGTTGGTGGCTCACACTGTAATCCCGGCACTTTGGGAGGCCGAGGCGGGGGGAGGGATCACTTGAGCCGGAGTTGGACCAGTCTGGGCAACAAAGCAAACCCTGTCTCAAAGAAAAAAAAAAGATGTGGTTAGAACTCTTGTATACCCATTACCTATGTACACCAATTAATAATATTTGTCATTATTTTCTCTCTCTCTTCTCATATATATATATATATATACATTGGGTGGAATTTTTTTCTGAACATTTGAGAGTAACTTGCATATAGCATGCACCTTTACCTGTAATACTTCAGAGTTCATTTTCTTTCTTTTTTTTTTTTTTTTTGAGACAGAGTCTCCTGTTGCCCAGGCTAGAGTGAGTGCCATGGCGTGCCTAGCTCACAACAACCTCAAACTCCTGGGCTCAAGCGATCCCCCTGCCTCAGCCTCCTGAGTAGCTGGACTACAGCATGCACCACCATGCCTGGCTAATTTTTTATATGTATTAGTTGACCAATTAATTTATTTCTATTTATAGTAGAGACGGGATCTCACTCTTGCTCAGGCTGGTTTTGAACTCCTGACCTCGAGCAATTCACCCGCCTCGGCCTCCCAGAGTGCTAGGATTACAGGCGTGAGCCACCACACCGGCCAAGAGTTCATTTTCTAAGAGTAGGATATTCTCTTTGATGACCACAGTACAGTTATCAAATTCAGAAAACTTAATATCAATACAATACAGCTCATATTCCAATTTCACCAATTGTTCCACGGTCTCTCTATCCAGAATTCAGTCCAGATGCCTGCATTGAATTTAGTTGTAGTGTCTTTAGTGTCTCTCTCTCTTTCTCTCTCTCTCCTTTTTTAAAAATTTTTTGAGACAGGTCTTGCTCTGTCGCCTGGGCTAGAGTGCAGTGCATAATTATATAGCTAATATTCGCTGTAGCATATGCCTAAAAAATAATAATAATAATAGCTAATAATAGCTCACTGCAACCTCAAGTTCCTAGCCTCAAGCAATCTTCTCACCTTGGCCTCCCAAAGTGCTAGGATTATAGGCATAGGCCAGGGAACTGGCCTAGCCTCCTTTAAAATTGAATAATTCCTCAGCCTTTCTTTGCCTTTCATGCATTAATTTTTTTCTCATTACTGATAAACTTTATTTTCTCAATCTTACATATGAAGAAGTGAGATGCAGAATCCTTAAGTGATCAAATCAAGCTTAGATAAAATGAAGATGTGGAAATTATAAGAGGCAGAACTGGTAATGGACCTTCTGACTCCACAGGTCCGAGCTCCGTAATTTTTTTTGAAGACTACGGGCCAGTTATCTTATAAAAGTTCCCTCATTTGTGTTGTTTGATGTTCCCTCATGAATAGATTCAGCTTATGCAATTCTGGCAGAAATACTACATAAATGATGTGTCTTAGGGCATCTTATCAGGAGGTATATGATCTTAGCTTCTTTCATTTATTGTTAATGCCAACTTTAATCATTTGGTTAAAGTAGTGCCCTCCAGGTTTTTACACTAAAAAGTTACTATTTTCCCTTTATAATTAACATGCAACTTGTGAAGAATACATTAAGACTATGTGAATGTTCCATTCTTCATCAAATTTTTACTGTTTTGAGTATCCATGGATGATTCTTCCTAAATCAGTGATTGGTATGAAAGTTGTAAACAATGATCTTCTAATTCTATCATTCCTTCTATATTTAATAGTGGTTATTCTAGTGTAAGAATTTATTTTCTCCTCATTTATTATCAATATGTGTTCATGATTCTGTAGGTTATAGTCCACTACTATCATGATTTATTTTAATGATCAATAGTCCGATGTGGTTGGTAGATTTCTCTTTAATCTGGCTTCTATGTCTTTTTTACATGTCTCCATCATTTTTTTAGCATGTTTATTTCTGACACAGATATTCAAGACTCATCTGTAGTTTCCCTGCCTCATCACTGAAATCATTCATGTCTTTAAAGACCCTAATTTATTCTAGTGGGGATGGCAATTAGCAACTTAGATTTGGGCACTAGGACAAATGGGGTGTAATTGCTTCTAGTTCTTTCAGTAAATAGAATTAGGATATATGTTATGAATGATAAGTTATACTAATACCTCAAGTTCCTGTCCAACCCCACATAGTTCTTTACTTCCTTCTTTGTATTTGTATCTCCTTTTTTCCACAGTGAGAATCCTGGCTGTCAACAACATCAGTGTTTTTCATGTTACATTACACACGATATAGTTTCAGAATTATTATACCCATATCATTGTGAAAAAAACCTACAAAGTAGAGTCCAAGTTTGCTTGAAGTTATTTTGCTTCAGACTAATGGTACATAAGCAAAGTAGTATCTTCATAGGATTTAGATTAGTCTTTTTCTTTAGTGTGTATGTTTTTCATTGAATAGAGCTGGTCTCCCTTATTGTTGCATTATTTGTTTTCCCATTCTTACTGACTTAATTTTTTTTTTAGACGGGTCTCGATATGTTGCCCAGGCTGGAGTGCAGTGGCTATTCACAGGCGCGATCCCACTACTGATCAGCACGGAGTTTGACCTGCTCGTTTCCGACCTGGCCGTTCACCCTCTTAGGCAACCTGTCCCCCGCTCCGGCTGACTTTAATTTTAAATGTATTATTTATTAAGACAGAATCTCACTCTGTTGTCCCGGATAGAGTGCTATGGTGTCTGCCTAGCTCACAGCAACCTCAAACTCCTGGGCTCAATCCTTCTGCCTCAGGCTCCCAAGTAGCTGGGACTACAGGCATGTGCCACCGTGCCCAGCTAATTTTTTCTATTTTTTAGTAGAGACTGGGTCTTGCTCTTGCTTGGGCTGGTCTTGAACTCCTGAGCTCAAACGATCTGCCCGCCTCAGCCTCCCAGAGTGATAGGATTACAGGCATTAGCCACCAAGCCTGGCCTTTAAATTTATTTTTTAAATTATAGTTAAATATACATAACATAAATTTACCTTTTTAACTATACAGTTTATGGCATTAAGTACATTCACTTTATTGTGCAACTATTACACCATCCATCTCCAGACTTTTTCTTTCTTCTTTCTTTTTTTTTTTTTTTTTTTTTTGAACAGAGTCTCACTTTGTTGCCCAGGCTAGAGTGGGTGCCATGGTGTCAGCCTAGCTCACAGCAACCTCAAACTCCTGGCTCAAGCAATCCTACTGCCTCAGCCTCCCGAGTGGCTGGACTACAGGCATGTGCCACCATGCCAGCTAATTTCTTTTTCTATATATATTAGTCAGCCAATTAATTTCTTTCCATTTATAGTAGAGACGGGGGTCTCACTCTTGCTCAGGCTGGTTTTGAACTCCTGACCTCGAGCAATCCGCCCGCCTCAGCCTCCAGAGTGCTAGGATTACAGGAGTGAGCCACGCGCCCGGCCTATCCAGGACTTTTTTCATCTTGTAAAATTAAATGACTTGATTTTACATTTTGATTATTTGAAATGTTAACCTTTTTCCAAAAGTAAAAACCATACAAAATGGTGTGCTTAGAGAAGTTTCATTCCCTCCCCTAACTGTTCCACTCCATGTCCACTAACTCTTATAGTTAAGCAATTTCATTAGTTTTTGGTTTATCCTTTATGTATTTCCTTTTGTAAAAGTGGGCAAATATATGTATATTTTCATATTTCCCCCTTTCTTTTTACACAACTGTAGCATAAAATCCATTATCATTTTACACAGGTCTTCCTCATTCCTTTTTTACAGGTGCAAAATACTCTGTGGTGTATATGTACAACACTATATTCAATCAGTCTCCTATGTTTGAACATTTAGGTAGTTTTAAGAACATTTAGATTATAATAATGCTGAAATGAATAACTCTGTACACATATATTTTCATATTATTATATATCGCTCTCCAGGGTAGATGCCTAGAAATGGGATTGTTGGATCAAACGATACATTCGTATGTAATTTTATTAGATATTGCCACATTAACCCCCATAAATGTTGTACCGTTTGCATTTGTACCAGCCATGTATAAAGGGTGCCTGTTTCCCCACAGCCTTGCTGACAGCATGTATTGTCAAGCTTTTGGATTTTTGCCAGTAGGATAGGTGAGATAACTCTTTTAAACTTTCAAAATTTACTTTAATTTTTCTTTTTTTAATATACATGTAGTAAATTCACTCTTTGATATACAGTTCTGTGAGTTTGACAAATGCATAAAATCATGTCACTACCACAATTAAGGACAAAACAGTTCCAGCACCATAAAAATGCCCTATGTGGCCTATTTGTAATCAACCCTCTCCCTACCCCTAGCCCCTGACTGCCACTGATCTGTTCTCTGTCCCTATGGATTTGCCTTTTCCAGAATGTCATATAAACGAAATCATACAGTAAATCTCAGTGTACTTTTATTTTGCATTTTTCTTAATATGAACTTCTATAATGATTTTAAATATTTTTCATATCTCTATTTCACATCTCTTCACTTCAGAGCCAGCTATTTTTTTCCTACCCATCTCCTTGTCTCTCCAACATAATGAAATTATTTCCCTGTTTTTTCCAGCAGATCTTAAAAGAGTAATCATGTGATATGTTCCACACCATCAAAATAAATCCAAATTATAGGCAGATTGATTTTATCTTGGTGTTTTTCTTCTTGA